ATACAATGGAAGGAGACTGCGACCATAAAAAAAGACCACACCATCTTGGTCTTCATACTTTTAAGTATTGTTTGTCGTGACTACCAGTAAATTAGTAGTATGATATGTATTCACCCAATTTCGTTTAAGGAGATGAAAGACTGGTAGAAGTAGAATTTTCCCACAAGGATATTAGTAGGACTGATTTTTCCAATGAATTTCAGCCTCATATAGTTGATTTACTGGTAGTCTCGAAACTCTACTTATATACGAAAAATAAGTAGTGTAATGGATTATTGTAGCAAAAATACGTTTGCTTCATCGACAGTCGCACCAAAGTATGTGATATGGTTATAAGATGTATTCACCCAATTTCGCTTAATGTCATGAAAGACTGGTAGAAGTAGAATTTTCCCACAAATGATATGAGTTGGACTGACGTTTTCATTCAATATTCGCATAGCTTTGCATTCGCAAAAGTTGTTCTCATCCAGGCACCAGTGGACTGCAGTTTCGACCTCGCATTGGTCTTATCAACACCCTCATCGGGAGCTCAGCTCAACTCATATCATTGTGGGAAAATTCTTCTTCCACCAGTCCTTCATCACCTTTAACGAAATTGGGTGAATAAATCTTATAATTAATTTAGTGGTAGTCACGAAAAACAATACTTAATTCGAAAAATACAATATAGTAGTCGATTGTTATAGCAAAACATACGTTTGCTTCATCGACAATTCCACAAAAAAACATATAATATGGCAAAATGGCCTGGCCTTCCTTCTGACCCAAAAGGCGCTCGTGGCAGTGTAGCCGAGTGGTTTGCGTGTCAAGCTACTGTCCTGCACTGTCGCGGTTCGAGTCCCGCTGAGGGTGTTGATAAGACCAATGCGAGGTCGAAACTGCAGTCCACTGGGGCCTGGATGAGAAACAACTTTTGCGAATGCAAAGCTATGTAAATATTCCATGGAAACGTCAGTCCAACTCATATCATTTGTGGGAAAATTCTATTTCTACCAATCCTTCATCAACTTAAACGAAATTGGGGGAATACATCTTAAAACTATATCTCCTCTGCCTCGAAATGCTTGATGATCTGACGACACTCAATGGGCATGGCTTCATGTTCCGACACCTACATGAGGTCAATTGATAACTGACCTCGTTGGTACATTTCCCATCTCGTCTGGCAACAGCGACACGAGGCCGACCAACTAAGTGAGGGGACATGATGCAGTTCCGGATTGGAGGACCGAGTTGGATCAGCAATTTCGGCCTAAATGTGCTTGGGCAAAGGTAGATTTGGGTGAATATACTTTAAAGGGAGGAGGACGGGTTGTGTACAGCGCAGTACGGCATGACCAACGAGAATACAGACCACGATGTGGTGCAGCATGTCTGCGTGTGTGTGTGTGTGTGTGTGTGAATGTGCCCTTGTTGTGTATGAATACGCTTCATCTTGTTACCCATACTTACGCCTCTCTCTTGGTACAGCTGAAGCAATACAGGCCGGCCGTGATTGGCCACTAACACTCACCTCCCCCCATCTACAACCTCTCCTCATTGCCCTCTCTCTCTCTCTCTCCCGCTCTCCATCTCCTTCTCTCTCTATGCATCCTACTTTAGGCGGACGTCTGAAAAGACAAGTAGCTCTTGACGTCGTCGGCAAAAACTATTCGCTCATTTTCGCGACGAGTGTTTCTATTTATCCATCCATCCATCCGTCCATCCATCCATCCATCCATCCATCCATCCATCCATCCATCCATCCAT